ACTTCTATACAACGAAAGGAGACTGCGACCACACAAAAGACCACACCATCTTGGTCTTCATATCTTCTATAAATCTAGTGTTGCCTTATCATACCTGCTATTTATCACGACCATCTCTTTCGATGGGCTGATCCGACTCGGGTCTCCAATCCGGATCCCTACATTGTCTCTTAGATCCGTTCCTTATTCCTTTGGTTGATCGATGTCACTCGGATCCAGTCCCAGTCTGCATTTCACTCCATGCGCCATTTCTCAAGGCCCTAGAAGCACGTACACTGTCGCTTCACTGAGCGGAACGCTTAAACTCTGATTGTCATGCTCGTAGATATCAGGCCTTTCTTTTCACGGGTCCTCTACCTTGATTAAACCCATGTTATCTGAGCAAACTGTGGACGCCTATCTCTGATCGCATGCGGCATCTCAAGTGGATTTATAGTGCTTATCGGTATGCCCAGCTCCCTTACGGCCAGCCCCCCAAAGTTGTACTGGTTTATTCGAAATCGACATCACTCACTGTCGACGTCTTCGCTTTATTGCCGGAAACCCCTGCCCCCCCTTTCTTCATCACCATCCCCTTTCCTCCGGTTAGCGATAGATCCTTAATCCAGATGTCTTCTTTTCGCTGGTCTTGCTCCATTCATGTTTTCCCCGAGTCTGCTTAGGCAGAAGGCAGAATTATCGCTAACTCTAACTTCCTCTAATCTCCTGTTCAATAGATTTTACTCCTCAATTATTTCAATGGCATTCTTTATCTTTCGCTTGCAAATGTTGTCACCGTATGGGGCTCTTCTTTCTGTTGTCTTCCAATTGATCTCGTGTCCATTCTGTGCTATGTGTTCCGCTAGTTCTGATCTTTCGGTATCCATTTTCCTGCAGAGTCTCTAATGTTCCTTGATTCGTGTTCTAATTTTTCTCGCTATTTCGCCAATATATTTCTGTTGGCAGGCGCCGCATGATAATCAGTAAACTCCTGAACAATCCAATTCACCTGCACTTTCATGTTGCGTCGGTAGACTTGTGAAAAGTGTTGATTTCTCTTTCATGGCCACCTGAATATTCCCTTTACTCAATATCGGCCGTAGTTTTTGAGTTAGTTCGCAGGAAGGTAGGCATATCCACTTTTGTGAATCCTTTATCGTCTTTACTGTTCTTTCATAGTCCTCGTTCTGCCATTGCTGAGGAATATCCTCGTCAATTTTTCCAGCTCCTCGTCCCAGAATTCTACACTTGTTAGGCGTAGGCTTCGGATGATCATGCTCCTCATTATTCCAATCTTTAGCCTGTAATTGTGATAGGACTGGAAATTGAGTAGCATCCCAGCATAGAACTTCTTTCTAAACAATTTCTTTTTCAGCGTTTTATTTAAACGAATCACTTCAACGTCCAGGATCGGTAACTACTCACCTTCTTCTACTTCCATTGTGAATCGAATTTTTCCATGAATCTGGTTTACAAATTTTAGAAACTCTTCCATTTTTCTCTTTCGTGTGACCAAAGTGCGAGGTAATCATAAGGGTACCGCATGAGCACTGCCGATTGTAGAGGTGCCGTCTTGAAGCTCTCTTCTATTTTGTTCATATATACGTTTGCTAAAAGTGGTGAGAGCGGTGATCACATGGGAAGTCCAAATATTTGTTCAAAGATGTTCCCGTTGAATATAAAATAGGTGGTCCTTATTGTCAATTTGATTAGTCTTATTAACGACTCTCTTCCGATCCGTTGTGATTCTAGGATATTCTCCTCTCGGTCCAGCAATTCTAGTAGGGCCGTTAGTGCATTCTCTCCAGAGATATTTGTATACATTGATTCCACATCGAAACTTACCAATAAGTCGGTTTCTTGCAGTGCCATATTTTTGATTTTTTGAGAAAATGAATGTGAATGTTTCACCGTGTTTGATAGCGTCTCATTTAATTTATTGAGTTTCAAACATATGAACTTTGCCAATTTGTGTGTTGCTTCATATTTGTTGTTGACTACAGGCCTTAGTGGTTTACCTTCTTTATCTAGCTTCGGTAATGCGTATGCTGATGGTGGTTGTGCATCATTTTTTATGATTAAATTTCTTGTCCGGGCCTCAATTTTTCCGTTCCTATGCATATCTTTCAACATGTCACTTAAGATTACAGTGATCTTCTTAATTGGGTCCTTGTTTAGTATACAATATGTGGTCCTGTCTCGTAGAATTTGTTCCATCTTCTCGGCATATTGTTTTTTGTCCATAATCACTGTAGCTCCTCCTTTGTCCGCCTGAAGGACTAATTGTTCATTCGTTTTCAGAGTTTTGCCTATCACGGCAAATCTTTTCCTGTATGTAGGCTCCTGATGTGTCAAGATATTTGAAATTAGTTA